GCGGGTTTCCGGTGGAAATTCTCTGGTCTTTAACGGTGAAGTAGCCTCGCATCAGCGCCCACGCAGTAGTAGGATGGTGGAAAGTGGACGCGCTTTGGTAACCCGTAAAAGAGGTTCCGTGTATTCATAATATTCATTTTATAATTTATAGTTAATTTTATTGGAATCTAATCACATGGAAGCTGCTTATCCAGTCTATCGAGACCTGCATTCTGAATATGCAATCTCTTTTACCAGTTTATCGTGTCCAGTGTATGTTTTGTCCGTGCAACTGCGCACTTTGCGTGCTAAATGCAGAGATCCCCTTTAGAGCCTTCTCCATGTCTTTCAACAAGCGCAGCTTAAATTTTTGTTGCAACTCCATACGCGGACAAGTTACCTTATCTCTGCGCTATGAGATCCGTAGTTTGATCTGTTACCTTGCGCAGCAGTTCCAGCATTCCTCGCGAAGAATCGGTGCGTTATTCCCAGTCCTGAGTTGTGTTACTTGTGTATGTTACTTGTGTATCCAAGGTTTCCGAGCCTTGCTATCGTGGTTGGTGATGATCTTTTGGTGTTTGTCTGGTGGTATGTCAAGGCGTGCTTTTTTGGCGTATGTCGTTTATTACGTGAAGCCTTTCACCGCAAAAGCCCTTTATAAACGGGAAGTGGGAAGCGATCCGTTCGGACTAGTGGTCGTAGTTTGACTGCGCTGACAGCGAAAGGTACTGACATGCTATGCGGAAGTCGCACTACGACTACCGCACTAGATGACCAAACCTTACTCAATCGACAAAGTGGGAAAATAAGAAAGATAAACGTTTTCTTATGTCGAAGTTCTACTTACCAAGCAGTTACCTATTCCTACGAGCTCGAGTGTTATCTGGAAGATGTTATTATCCCGATTTTAGGTAAAAGGATGTGACTTCCGGTAGGTACACACTAATGCTTTCGCTACTAGAAGACACGAGAGATCTTAGATTCAGGATGTTGTTGTTAAATTGCAATTTCAAAGATGTTCCAGTCAAGACTAAATTGCACATCGAAATTCGAGAGAGATAACGCCGCAATTAACATGGGATCAATCTGGCGCTAGTGAGTCATAGAAGCTAGCAATTATCAACCAATTAGCGGCAACATAAGCAACACCAATCTCGTAAAAAAGTCTACATGTACGACGCTTCCTACCACCACAGCGTCAGTACCTTACTATACCCCTTTCTGCTTCGCATTATGATCTTTCGCGATCACCAAATGGTTGTGCTTTCATTAGATAAATTGGCTTTCTTGTAAATTTATTCCTTTTTTCTCTTTTCTGTATTACGTTTCGGTTCACACTTTGCAGTACCCCACCGTCCCACTGTCCCCACGTTACGGTGTGCTTTCCTCCAAATTAACTTACAGAGTAATTGATCGGTGTTATTTGATTTACGCTTTACAGTGATACTTGCGTATTCCGCACATTCAGATTACAAATACTTTAAATGTGTTGCGGCCTGGTCAAATTAGAAATATTACGGAGGATTACGAATGACCATGCGCTGTAAATGCTTACAAAGACCAACGCATTTTTCGCGCATAGTTGGTAGCGCGCACGAATATTTATTCTGAATAATTGCACCTATAATCAGAACTCTGCTTTACAATTAGTTTTCTGCAGGTGAATTAGCGGAGTGAAATGTGTCCTACCGCAAAATCCCTTTCTATTCTTACTTACAGGTATGCGTGTACTTGTTTTCCAAGGGAAAAGGCTTATAAAATGCTTATAAAGCCTTATGGACTACGGCGTTGTCTTCCTGGATGTATCCACACGGAAGGCTGGATGGACCTGTTGAACGATCAGACAGTTCACGGTTCCAGGTCAACGAGTCTTCGACGGAAACATTGCGACTTCCGACTGTAAAGTAGCTTAGCGTCAACGCCAGCACATTAGAGGGATGGCAGTGGCTACCAGGTATCTCGTAAGATGTGTTTTTGTGTGGATTCGTAATAATATTACTCCCTAAGTACCATAATAATCAGTCAATTGAATCATGCATAATGTATTTATCTAATACTTTTCTGTGAAATACTACGATAGCACGCGGCTGATACCATGTCTACAGCACGAATTACCCAAACGTTCCTTCCTAAGATGCGCAGCATAAAGTGCTTAGCGAATGTAAAAGAGGGCCGGAATCGTAAATGGCCACCATCTTCGACCGTTTTGCCAACGTTACTTTCTCATTTGTTCCTCAAAACCATAAGTCGGTGCCTATCACCAACAAGTAGTCCACAACCATCCTGCTACCGAAGTTGGGAAGACACCACCATGACCTTGACCCTACGGTCTGCACAAATGCCAATCAAAGTGCAACCAGTGGCAAGCACCACAAACACCAATCAAGTACAGTGCAACAAAGCGCATACGAAGCAGCGAAGTTCGTACGTACCATCTTACTGAAGTTCAGAAAGCGTGGACGACGATGCCGCTCCCAGATGCACGTGCCGGAAAAAATCTGCACTGGAGAAAGGTAAAGTGCTCCGTACGTAAGGCAGGTAGATAAACCACTCACTAAACGGTATATTCATGTACGCAGGTAGTGTGCATGTTTTCGCTTTCCAGTATGACTTGTGCGCATTCACCGTCAGATCTTTCATTTGCTGTTGCCGTTGAGATGTTCCCAAAGAACCAGCAGTCTGGAATACGGCGTTGTCCTCGGCGGAATTGTGTGCTTGATCATGTACAGTATCTCGATCGAGCGCAAAATCCCGAGATTGGTTAATGCACAGTTCACTAGTCAGTGAGTCGTCAGTGAGTCTCCGAAGGAAACCTTTAATCTCACACCAGCGACAAGCTCCTCCGTAATAAACTGACAATTTTTCAATGTACTAATTGCAATAGGTATAGGTTATTTTTCGTCTGCACGTAGAAAGTGCGCAAATCGACGAGCAGCTAAGGCGCCCTGACGAAAATGCATCGATCTTCGTTTATCTCAGCGGCATATTTTCCCACGCACCGCAACTGCTGAGAAAGGTCTGAGCCGCTTTATTTTTCAAGAAATCTATCCAACATTCGCTTTCCAACAGGTGTCCCGCACCGCCTCGATATCCTCCAGCATGCTGCGCCGCTTATACTTCCGAAACTCCTCCATCAACGCCTGACACCGCGTCTCCACCGGCACCGCCAACACCGCGGGCGCTGCTTTAGCGGGACCGATGCCACACGGTCGCTTTATCAACAAGGGGTGGCGGCAGCGGGTTAACCCTGACGCCGACCCGCACAACCACTGGTCGGTGGCGTTCTGAGAAGAAATTATCAGCGCCACGCGCGAGTCCGCTCAGATATCCCCGTCCTGGTACTCCTGGGACCGCAAGCGAAGGCGTTGGATGGTCTCGTGCAGTTGGTCGCGGTCGTAGCCTCCGCCGGGGTCAATCTGGCGAAGGTAGATTATTTGTTTGTAGGTTACTGCGCACTATTGCGAGATTTAATTCAGTTCTCTTAACTAATGCTGTACACGTGTGCTTATATAGTACATACTGCTAAACAACATGCTGAATTTAGTCTGAAATCATTACGCATGAGGATTTATGATCACAGGATTCCCAGCCCAGCTGAGCTTTATTGCAGATTTATGTAATATTCTAGCCGATTAAATACGATGCGCGCTGCTGCATTATTTTGTATATTTTCGCTTTCTTGTAGGTATTATGGCAATTACGCATGCGGCTCATTGTTTTTGTATTTCAGTTGAAGACACAATTAAGAATCGTCAACGTGAACTACCATGTTATCTTCTGGGACGTACCACGGTATCAGCGGATGTTGTACACCTCTTTTAGCTGGATGGAACGGGTGATCGTGTTGGCCTGTTCACGGTTCAAGATCAGCGAGTTTCCGGCGGAAATTCTCTGGTCTTTAACGGTGAAGTAGCCTCGCTTCACCGCGCGCCAGTAGTGAGTGATAAATGAAGTGACTCCACTACCGAGGTGCGTCGTATAAAGGTTTTCATAATTATGGTATTCATAATAATCGTGGGAATTTCATTATCCTGTATATATTTCTCCGTTTGCGATCATTGCTTTTTCATTCCGTTTCAAGAAGAGGGCAAATCCGAACAGCATACTAACCGGCACGTGTCGCACTTCCGGCAAACGGGCACGGTCGAGATGGCAACAGACAGGACGACCATGACCTTGACCGCGCTCACTGCAAGATATGAGAAATGCAGCGTAAAAAGCGTAATTTTTAAAAGTTAGTGCATACGTGCACGGCTAATAAATAACTACCATGCCGATCCCAAACGCACGTGTCGGAGAAGCATCAACACTGGATAATGGCCAGATATGACTGGCTGATTCACCACTCACCACGCGCAGATGTTGCTCTGCTTAATATGTGCCACAGCCTTCCTTCTTTATCTGCTGACTGCAGTGCCGTTTTCGTTCCAGCCTGGCTCACGGAGACCGAAAAACATCCAGCGCAGCCTGTTGATTTGGCTTTCTGTTTAGCTGTAGCTGTTAGGCGATGATAAATAATGACAGGTTTTCTGTTTTGATTGCTGCACCGTGTATTCTGCTTAAAAGTACAGCGCCATGAAATTACGTACCGGCGCGAGATTGGACGTTTTATTGAAACTAGAAGGTATAAGAACCGCGAGCGTCTTAATTGTGTAGCATAGCAATAAGCGATGCGTAAATTTACTGTACGGTTCCTTGCAAATTTGTATTAACCACGTCAACGGAAAATGATCAGATTTCTTATCACGGCATTCACTTCTATCTAGCTGCAGTATGCAAACCAAAATTTCTACTTCCACTAGTGTTCCGGTGTCATTCGAACGGATGGTTTTGGAATTTCGCCGTTTGGATTGTTTACTGCCCTTCTTATCTTTCTCCTCTCGTATTTCTAAACGCGGTAGTTGTATTTTTCTTCATAATTTGTAAATTTATCTGCGTCGTTAGTAAGGGGAACTGCTCAAACTTATATCTCATGTGTTTACGATTCCGAAGTAAGAATAGTAAATAACGTAGTTAGCAGCAGTTTGTTTCTTCGCGTATTCAACTTGCACTTATTGAAAGTGGTCGCTTAAAAGCATCGGAGGGAATCAGTAGCGAAACTGCACGGGAAGTGCGAACTAAGAAGTTCGAAAGTCACAACAAAAAGGGCATAGCCCAAACAACAACAAACCGGCGCTTTGAGCGCCCAAATTCAAAAAGCCCGCAAAAAAAAGTTAAATAAGCAAATACGCGGGCATTAAGGCAGCACACAAAGCCATTTATGGCTGGGCCGCGGGCACCGGGATGTCGAGGTGCTGGAACAGGACAACCATCATCATGTTCTGGTGCTCGAATCTCGCCGCCACGTTGGTCTCCAAGGCTTCAAATCTCGCAGCCACGTTGGTCTCCAAGGCGTCGACTCTGGTCTCCAGGGCATCGAATCTGGCCCCCATCTGGGTCTCCAAGGCATCGATCCTGGCCGTCAGGCGATCCTCCACATCGGTAATCTTTAGCTGGATCCAGTGATACGCGATTTCAACCTGTCGTTCCATGACCTCCACCGTCGCCAACAGAAACTGGTACTGGTGGTTCGGGTTTGGCTTGGGAAGCGTCCAGGTCTTGGCAAACTCAAACATGGCGTCTCTGGCGGCGACGTAACGGGCCCCGCGATCGGGATCAGAAACGGGCAGGACACTGGCTTCAAGCCAAGACACCTGAAAAAGTACACCGAATGCCTACCAATTTACAGGGCGAACACGAAACACGTTGCTAACTTTCCACGGTAAATGTTGTGCTATAATACTGTACCCTGTCGTTCCGACCAGCGCTACGGCCCATCGTGAGCATCATTCCGCGTTTCCGGCACTAAAACGAAACGCTAGATCAGTTGTGCTACGAGTACTTCTTAGTTGCCATGGCAAACCGAAACCGAAAGCCATTAAAACAACCTAGTGTACTTCTTAGGGAACATGAGATACGTTACAGTCACAGATACACTTGCTCATAATTACGTTACAGGTTGAACTAATTATTTTATTATTGGTTTTATGGAGCTGTCCTCTGTACTCAAGGTTAATAAAGATAACACTGTAATTATTTTCCAATAATTATGTACCAATTTCCTATTAATTCTGCGATTACGTAATTAAAATGAACAACGCTCTGAAAGAATATAAGTACATTACCGAATGAACACCGCACTTAACACACTGGCTGCATTAGCGAACACTGCTCCGACAAATGTCAAAACGATTCGGTTTGCAACAATAATTAGTAGTATCATCAGCTATGGTACTCCTACGTGTTCTATTTGCAAAAAACACAGAAAATTATTGTCGTTTTTTCAAGTACTTGAGTAACAACAATTGCTGTATAACCCAATAGTGATCAATAGTTGCTATTAAGCGGGCAGTAACACAGAATGATAAGTGTGCTCGATAATCATTCCAACTACGGTCATGTACTGCCAAATTATTGACGCTTCAATTAAACTTACTTCAACCACATTCGCGACGCCTCCCAAGCAAAACATCACCACCACCAGCGTGACCAGTGTATTGGCGATAGCCGACTCTTTCGCCAAGCCCTGGGCGGTGGCGAGCCGCTCCGCCACATCATCCAGGATGTCGGCCGAATAACACGCGGCGACGCCAACCGCACCGAGAAAGGCCAAAGCATACACGAAGGTCTTACTCCACGTCATGTTTTCTGAAAATACAAAATCAGTTCCGCAGGTAAATGTGGCGCTAGAAAGCAGTAGATGTAGTCGATGCGCTGCTAACAATAGGAACATATTTTTCACAGCGGCGGCAACACTGTATGCTGATTTTCTTTTTTGCCACGCATCTGTAGTCGTATGTAGCAAAAATCACTGTATCTGTACATGGCTTCTTCTGAGGAGTAACTCAGAAATCCCGGCTGAACAGTTTCCCTGATTGCTGAACGTCAGAATACGTTGTGGTTAAACATGGTGCTTATGTACTGCGCTAGAATCCAGATTTTACGTCGTATTAAAACTTTGTAGTTGCTTATTAATTTTGCTTCCTACAAGTTAATTTTTCTTCCTTTTTTTAAAGTTACGTACAGGTTAATTGAAGTCATAGCTTACACGGAATCTGGCGCACGCACGCTACGCAAAGTAATCCCGCTAATTTTCCCAAATTATTTCCAACTGCCACGATTAGGTGCGCCACTTATGAAATTGCACGGCACCTTGCATCATCTTAAGGCCGCCGAAGTTCTTCGGTTTCCCGGCCAGAATAAGCGAAAATTTTCGATTGAAAACCCGATATTCCTGAGCGATACGAGGTTCTGGCTGAGAATTTATTACTGATTACGCTTCCTAGCTTCTGTAATGAAATCAACTCGCTGAGCTGCTGGCACACACAAAAGACGCTAACGCAGATTTCTCGCCTGATTTCACGTTAAACAGCCCTGATTAAAACGAAACCCGAAGTTTCTGAAAGATAAAAACGCTAGAAATAATTACTGTATTACCTGGTAGAATCGAAATTACTGGACAATGGAAATTTTTAATTTCTTACAGCTTACTGCGCTGCTCCCTACGAAATCAGCACTCAGATTTTCAATCAGCACTTAACAGAAGCAAGAAGCACTCATTTAAACCAGACGTACTAACTACTAAACGATGTCAGTAAAACGAAGATTGTAATTTTAACAGCAGTAAAAACTTTAGTAAAGCCTATCGTAAATCTGAAAAAAAGCAATATGGGAAAACTAAATGAGAAACAGCGAAAAACCGTAAATCAGCGAAAGCAGGAGCCGTCGTTACGTTTCCTCGATAATTTCAAAGAAATTATAGAGAATTTCTAACAGCTATGCAAAGAAATTAATGAAAACGTTAAGGAAAAGGAAGAACTTACCAAACGACGGCGTTATACGGTGTGGAAGAAATACCGAAGAATAGTTTCTCACGTTCCAACGGTTCTGGGAAAACACAATGTCTGATTACAATCGTGCAAGGGTTTACCACAGAGAAAAGATAATTTCGGGAATAGTATTAGAACGTCCTTTCCAGTTTTCCTACTTACATGAATAGGTCTGACGAGATAGTTCGAGGAGGAAAACTCGGAGAAGACGATAATCGGGAAGACGTTAAAATGTCTGTCTGTCACGAAAAATTTTGGATCGAGAATGACTGTCTGGCAGTTTCAGCGTTGAGTCAGGCGAAGCTGCTACCTGTTGCAGTTGGATACACCAGTCACGCCCACTCCCGACTGTCCCGACCAATCGTGCAGTAAATAAGTAATCAATGTAAATAACCACTCGCCGCTCATAAATCAGCAGCCAATGCCAGGTTGCAGATATCCAGAATGCGGCAGCGTCTGGCAGCCCGCACTTAAACGTTACGGCCTTTCCATGACTTAGCGTTTTCTTCCCTTCGCGAAATTTCTGTGTGCGCACTGACTGCTTGTACTTACTGATTATTGCGTAAAATAATATTGATTTTATAAGAATAAATTATTTCCAATAAATATATTTTGCGAGAGATGACAGGTTCAAAATGCTGCGTGCCCTTGTGATTAACAAGGCAAAACATTTGTTGGTAATTCTTTAAGCACAATTGATTAAAGTTATCGATTTAATTCCAACTCCAATTGTACAACTAAATTTTTTAATACATGTCAGACTTTTCTAGCAATTTGCTGCAGAATTAATAATAAAAGTTTAATTATCCGCAGCTGCCTTTTCTATTCTGTACGAGGTTCGCAGTACAGTCAAACTTACATGCAAATTCGCGCATGCAGATTTAAATTAATTGAAAAACTTAAGTTAAATTCAATAATGTAAATATTGACATACATTAAAACATGAACTTAATTAAATTTGTAATCGTAGATACGTACAGGCAATTTTGCAATATGAGCCAGTGCCAGGCGCCTGACAAAATTATAATCCACGAGGTTTCCTTTAATTCTATGCGAGACCAAATCACCGCAACATGCTCCCACACCTTATTAGAGATTAGCTTAGTAATCCACAAAATAAAAATATAACCTGTGACAGGCAAGCACAGAGAGCTCACAGGTGACTTTATTGTACAAATAAAGTGGAGCAAATGCCGCGTGAATGCGGGGAAAAGCACAACAAAGGCCAGTGTCTGGCAGAAATCAGCAAGTCAAGTTGCTGCGAGCTAGTTCTAGAGCGTAATGAAATGTAGAGAAAGAAATGTGCTGGCGGCAACGGCGTCACGCTGTCCAGACACATGGAATGTGAGTGCGCAGACTGGACTCGTATCCAACGCGAGCGAATATACGCTGAGTCATACAGCGAGAGAGAGGAGCGAGAGAGCAAGTATGCTCAGTGAGTGCGCCCGCGGTGTATCCGCATAGGCGGAGAGTGCAGTGCAGCCACTCACGTACGTACAAGAGAGGGCGAATCAGCATGTGTGCAGTGATACGCATACGCAAAGTGGCGTATCTATCACGCAGGCTGTCGTGCCTCTAACATGCCTCTGGGCGGGAATCCGAGCTCCTGCGAGGATGCTCAGACTCAGTACCGCACCAGCGTCGCACCTCTCCGGTCGACCCATGTGGGGTCGCCGGTACGCGTCCTCTTCCAATGGGAGTCCAGTGTCTGTTGACCGTCCCATCCTTCACCTCCAGATCCATGAGAGGCAAGCAACTCACGGCCGAAAATCTGGAAGCCGCTCGGGGTTCGTTGTTGGACCGGTTTCGCTTCTGTTGGCAGGCATCTTGCTTCTGTTGGCTTGCGGAGAAAGTAGAAGAAAAGTAATGACGGTTAAACAGCGCGAAGTAAAAAGTAATAAAGTTTAATCACAATTCCAGTGAGCAAAAAGTAAATACAAAACAGATCTGGTTAGAGATTCTAAGTAAAATACAATTCCATTTGTTAGAAAATGTACAAAAAATACTAAAAAGAGATCTGTCCGGGGGGCTTATTCCGACTAGGATGACGTCCACGGGTCTTGGGTTTCCACGGGGTCTCCTGTCTAAATGCAGTTCGGTGTATCAGGTCCGGGGTGTCGGTTCCCGGGTTACCCAACGTAACCGGTAAGTTCTTCCGAGGTCGGGTAAGCACGGCTGACACTTACGTCCGACTCGTATTCATCCGTTCCGGAGGGAGAGGCACTGTCGCTGTTGCGAATGCCGAAGCATCCTCTCTAATTAGGGGGAATAGACCAAGGTCATCGGACCAAGGTCGGCCTACCGGCGAGTTAACCGGCGGCAAGGGAATTCGGCTAAGTCCCGAATTCCAAAAGTCAAGTCGGACAAAACCGTACTTGTGTCGTGCAACTTCCGTGGTCGCCAAGTGGTAATGCCGATGGAATGTGGTCGGTTTAAAACCGTTAAATCTGCTACCACGAGCCTGGTTAAGACTTTTCCGAGGCGAACTGGCTCGAAGGTCCGGTCGGGATTTGTTGCTCCTCCATCCAATAGTAGTTCATCCGACCTTCTGTCGGCCGAGGATGGGTTTCCGACCTGAGGTCGGTTGTAATGTTATCCGACCTGAGGTCGGTGATAACGCACCTCCATGGTCGACCGCGGTAACTCGTGTTATTTAGGCCCATGTGGGGCCAAACAAGTCCTGTTAGGTCGAATTCGTCCATTCCGAGGTCGTTTCCAGTTCCAATCTTCAGTTTAGTCGACCTTCACCGACCTGTTATCGGTGACTCCTGATGTCCGACCTGAGGTCGGGTATGATGTTATCCAACCCGTGGTCGGTGGTAATGTTATACGACCTGAGGTCGGTTACCACGTGACTGGTCCGTTCAAAGGTCGTATCCCGGCTAATCCGCTGGTGTTCCGAGCGGAACCGAGCGATCCGGCGTTCCTAACCGACTTCTGTGGTCGGTTGGACCGGTTCTCCGAACTGAGGTCGGTGATAATGTTATCCGACTGGAGGTCGGTTACTCCAAGTCCCAGGTCGATTAAGATCGATTCCTTTGTCCGGAAGTCGTTTTCCGTGAAGATCTTGGATGGCGTCTCCATCCGCCGACCTGTTGTCGGTTACTTCTCATGTCCGACCCGAGGTCGGTTACAACGTTATCCAACCTGAGGTCGGTGATTCCGTAATTCCGTGTTCAACCGAGGTGAGTTACGGTATACAGGCTCAAAAGTGGAGCCGTACAAGTCTATTTCGGTGGAATCATCCTCATAACCGACCTGTTGTCGGTTTCCATTTTATCCGACCAGAGGTCGGACATAATGTTATCCAACCCAAGGTCGGTGATTCTTCTTCCAGGTCGGTTGCGTCCGTCAAGAGGTCGTCTGGGCACTCATCCGATCTCTGCGAAGTTTGTTTGAAGCGATTCTCTTTCATGCCTCTAACATGCCCTGGTTCGGGTCGATGGTTTTGCCTCTGGACGGGTCCGAATTCCGTCAAGTTCGGCAGTCCCATGGCGTCTGTTGGCCATTCGGCATGCAATCCAGGTCGCTTGTGGCATCAAGGGACTTCTGTGGTCCCACTCCACAAGACAGACTCTTTGGTTTCAAACTGGCGTACAATTCTCGCGCCTTGGCAGCGTTGTGCCTCGGGCCCCGACTTATGTCAGACTGCCCGTTCCCATCCCCATGCAGCATGCACTTCTGAGGTAAAATCAGATCACTTCACTTCCTTGGTTTGGAGTTTCTTCGTTCGGTTCCGCGAACCTGTGACGCCTTGCCACTTCTGTTGGGGAAAGACATCACACGTCCGTAGGGATCTGTATGGGGGTGCAAGCCGTGTGTTCTAACACGGTTTGCCTAGGATGTTCCATTAAGACATGGGGAAGCAGGTCGCGGCGGAGTCGTTGGTACGTCAGTAGCCAAATCACCGTCGCTGTTCCTCTTCAGGTAATGGCAGCACGGTCAAGCCGCGCGTAGTCGTGGTCACCGGTGAATCGGTTGGTTTATCCGATATCCGCCGGGGAGACTGCGGTTGGACTCCAGGTATAGGTTCCTGGTTGAGAGCCTGTAGATCCGGGTTCAAACGGAGAATCCGTCCAGACTAAAATCGTAGTCAGGTGTCGCGGTTTGCGGTCACCTTTACCGACTTCTGTGGTCAGTGAAGACTGCGATAAAGCCATCCCGTTTATAATTTCCGTGTGCTTCCGTCGGGTCGACGTCGGTTGGTCAATGTTTCGAAGGTCGGCTACCGTTGGCAAATCGACTTCTGTGGTCGATTCTAGGTAGCGGGTCATAGTTGACACTGTCCGTTCCGTTGCGGTCCGATTGATTCCATGTTATTTAGGGACTTGTTATCCTATCGGCCGTCCGTTTCTCGGAGTTAACCGTGGGTGCCTTGGCAAGCATGGTCCTGAACACACCGCAGTGCTGTGTTCCGGGCCATGCTAGCGGAATCCTCGCTGGTTTCTACTCCGGAGTCCGGTTGCCGGAGTGTCTTGATTCCGATCATCTACCTCCGGGATGGTTGACTTCCGTGGTCAACTGAGGTAGTAGATCGTGGTTAACCAACACGGTCTGTATTGGATATATCCTTCTGTATGGCTTATCCTTCGGATGTAAAGTTGAAACTTCACCGACTTCTGTGGTCGGCTAAGTTATCCGAATCGTGATTAGGGAAAGTCCAAGTTCTACCTTAAAATTGGCTGACTTCCGTGGTCAACGAAGGTAGTGGATCGTGGTTTTGTGACACGGTCTGCGTCACTTCCTTTAATTACCTCGGGAACGGTCAACTTCTGTGGTTGACTGAGGTAACGGAGCACAGTTGAAGTCGCGGTTTGCGAAGTTAGGTCTCTGGGCGGGAGTCCGGTTCTTCGTTCCTGCCTTCGGTTAATCCAATGCGTCATGTCATAACAGGTCGGTTTTGACTTCTGTGGTCAATTCCGAACCATGTGACGTTGCGGGCCGATGAGGATACCACTGTCTGCGGTGATGAAAGTTACTGGTCGGTTACCCGGTCCCAAAGTCGGCCACGGGTGCCAGGCGAACATGGTGTCGAGAACGTGACAACGTTTTCGACACCATGTTAGCGTAATCCTCTCGGTCTGTTTTCCAGAGTCGGTTAGCCGGAGTAATCTTCTTCGGTAGCAGCACGTGGTTCACGATATGCTATGTTAGCAAGCCGGGGCGTCTGTTGGCTCCGGTGTAGCAGATGTGGTTCTGATCTCGTTCGCGATCTGCTAATGCCATGCTGGGGAACTGAGGTCGGTTGCCCAGTTCTTTCCAGGGGATTCCTTGGAGGACGTAACGGTACGGTGAAAGAACCGAACTACCCAGGTCTGACCACACGTTTCCGGGTCCGACCAAAGAATCCGGCCAACTTATGTGGTTGGCGCTTCTGGCTTATTCGTGGTTCACGTCTGCTTTAGGATCCGTAAAAAGAAAAGTATCCGTTCCATGTTTTCCATGTCGTTTCTCGACGCTGCTGTTTCTCAGCTGGGCAGGTTCTCCGCCAGGTCGGTTCTCGACTTCGCTGTTTCTCAGCTCGATGTCCCTTCCTTACTGTTGAAGTGGGGCCGCAGGTTCCTTATGCGGGGACCTGTTATCCCAGAGGGACTGAGATCGGCGGGTCTCCGCCGAAGTAATCTTCCTCGTCATCGTCAGATTTAGGTGGTGGTCGACCGAGGCGCCGGAAGACGTCAGGTTTACATGTCGCTGGTGGTTGCCCATCTTGTTGTGGGGTGTCTTCCTGGCCGGGTTGTTCCGCCCGCGCCTTCTTGGCTTTCTGGACCTTCCTACGGAGCTTATGCGCGTTAGGTACTGCGCCGGGTGCCAAGTCGTCCGACATCCCTTCTCCGTATGGTCTAGAGGTGAATCCGCTAGGTAACGCTTTTTCTTCGCGGTACCACTTCACGAATTCGGCCGCATCGTCGTCTGGATCTTTGAAGTCCTTGCGGAAGGCGTATCTGGCCGCGTGCCGTTCCTGTATGTAGAGGAGGTCGCGTAACCAAACTGCCAAGATGATACTTCGCATGGGTGAACCAAGTTGTGCGACGATCGTATCCAGTTCTGGTGGGATATGTGCCGTGCGACGTGCTCCCCACAGCGTGTAGTGGCAAAAGCAATTGCCTAGCCTTGCTGCGAAGACGTACCGCAAGATGGTTGCGTTTCGATCTTCTGGTCCTGGTTCTTCTTCCGGCAAGTACTGCAGTAAGTCCAGGGCCGCTCGAGCCGCTGCGATAATGAAGGCCGGGTGGGCATCGGTGATGACAAACTGAGCCACGCTCTCCAGTTGATCGCGGGAATACTCCTGAGGTCCGAGTTGGCTTAAGCTCGTCCTCTCCGGTGTGGACAGGGGTACGTCCAACAGTGCCGGGTCATGCACCAAAGGCAAAGCGTTTGCTCGATTGATCGGGTGATCGACGTTAGGGTGGTCGTTCATGTTGAACTCGCCCATCCAGTTGTTCAGTTGGAATCTGGTTTGAAATCCGGATCGAATGAGGAACTGACGTAGGTTTTCTACCATCCGCCAAATGTGTGGTCGGTGTCGTTCCTCATATCCCAAGGTATTCATGATGTAGTTCGTCCGTTCGGTCGGATGTGGCATAACGACCTCAACTCCCTGTCGTCGGGCGTTGTCGTAACGAGGGTCGTCTTGGCTCGGAACTTGCACTGTTGGCATCGAGGCCATCTGATTTGCC